TATTTCCTGAGAAGCAGCTCGATTTTGATAATATTACTAATTTTTCCTTTGAGGTTCAGCTGTGTTTCTTATACACTTGATGGACAAGGAAGAAGACATCTTCTTTTAGGGCATGAGCAAATTGCAGTTTTCAACTCAACGGGAGAATGGAAGGCTTGAATTTGATGAGATTTCACTCCTATCGTGGGTCGAATTGTGATGCTGATCAAATCAGTTGTTTTTTGCTGACAATAATGCTTCGTTCAAATTTAGGATGCATTTGATAAAACTGAAATCTGAAATTTAAATTCATTAATTTATTGAACTGTAAAGTATTAAATCTAATATATTTGAATGCATATCACATTCAGTGAAAAGTAAATAGCATATCATTTAGTTTTGGGAATAAGTTTTGCCTATAAAATTCAGTGTCACTTAATTAATTCAGATGTTCAATTTTTTATTATTAAACGGTTTAAACATGTTAAAATATGAATTCATTAAATTTAAGTGCTGAATTGAGTTATCAAACAGAGTCTTTTGTAAAATAATGAAGTAAAAGCAGGACCTGATTAGTGGCCATAGGTAGCAGAATTTTACGTTAGTATGAACACTGTCCCACATTATATGGATTGTATAGTCCACAGATGGTCGATTCTGTCAAAGTCAAGGGTTTAATGCCTTAATGGAAGCTATAATGATGGTAATATTAAAGATGTTTATAAAACCAGTACCTTACTTGTGTAAACAATTTACAGCAATAAGTTTTGACCTCGAAGAATTTGCAGATTGGACGAAATCTGCAGCAGCCAGCACTCAGCAGGTATTTCAGCAGATTGACTTCGGAGAACAAAAGCGAGGGAGTAGATATCCAATCAAATTCGATCAAGATTTCTCAAAATGGGAAAAGGAAAATGGCCAGCTTGGAAAAAAACTGCATACCCTCTTTTGCTTTATAAGGAGGAGGACTGCAAGCAATCCTAACCTTGAACCTCATTTATGACCAATAATTTGCAGCTGTAGTCAATAATGCATTAAAGTTGACAAACGTTTTAATTGTAGGCTCTGGTTTTGATAGTAGAAAGGGGGGGGGGGTCGTCTTTCCAACTTCGATTTTATAGACTCAAGAGCTTAACACGAAAAACAGAAAGCATAGTCAAATTATTTCCATACCGACATCTCTTTCCTACGGTGGCTGTTCAGACTCTGTGCTCTTTCCTGTCTAATCCACAAACAGACTTGAGAGGAGAAGACTTCTGAAACTTTGAGATTGACATGAATCTAGAAATCATGCGGAGTGGTATTGGGGTTTGACCAGAGTGAATTCGATTTGGTTCACAAACTGGTAAACCCCGGCTGAAGTGCTAAGGTAGGTGTTAAGTAGTACTTTTCTTGGAGCCCCATGTGAAGGAAAATGAAAGATGTTCAGTTCTGGATGTTGAAAGTCCAAATGCTATGGAATACGATGGCTTCCTGCTGAGAGTAGAATTACTTTTCTTGGATCCCCATTTGATCGAAAGTGAAGATGTTCAAATTCCAGAGGTTGGAAGTCCAAATGCTATGAAGAACGAAGGCTTCCTTGAACCCTTGAAGGGGTAGCTAGGTGGTCCATTAATCAAATTAACTCACGTGAAGATGTGAATTACACTCAATGCACGTAAAAATTAGGTGGCTTATCTGTTTTGAGAGTAATTGAACTAAGCGAGAGGACAAATTTTGCTTAAATTTGATTAGCAAATCCTTGTATTCCCTTGTAACAATGTAACATTGGAATTATAATTCTGAGTAAGACCCTTATTTAAATATACTTGCTTACATTTCAAGTCAAAAAGTAAAACATCACATTGCACTAGAGTTGTTGTTCGCCCTCGCTCACATAAATTTTTGCTTTTACCATAATTTTTCTCTTTATAACATTTCAATTTGAACTAGGGATGATTTGAAAACCCTCTCCTAAAATTTCTGATCTCTTGAAATCAATTTCTGGCAACGATTTAGCCAATCAAAAAAAGCAACAATAAAAATTTATTTCAGCTGTGAGATGATTTATTTATGCCAAAAATGCCTCCCAACTTTTATACTAGTAAGATTAAATATTTGATCTAATTTGTTAATTTACTTATGAGGCCATTACACATGGTTAATAAAAAAAAATTCCATCATCCATAATAAAAATAACAACTTCAAAATTTAATAAAATAATTTTTTTTCATACCTTATGATTCTTGCTATCACCACAATTATAAGAAAATTAACCCAACTGAAATCTCTTATATTTGATTCCTTTTATTTATCAAGTACATAAATTAGAAAAAGGATGCCTAGTCTTGGATCCCTTTTTAGATGCCAAAATTAGATTTTCTTTTTTACATTTCAAATTATGGTTAATTTAATTTGTAAACGGATTAATTGTTTCTATATAAAAATTAAAAAATGCACCTAAATTGGCTCTATTTTTAATGCACCTAATTGTTTCTATTTTTAATGTAGTTAGCAAACACTTAACTCTTTTCCTTCACATATATACTGTAATTATTCTAAATTATAAAGGTAATAGAGTCATTTAACCTATTAGTGATGTAAGCGTTCGATCCCAAATGACTGCGAGGGAGGTAAATAAAATTTTAAAAATCTTAGGGAATGACAGTGAAATTGTAAAAAATCTCAAGGGAAGTTTCTGAAATTATGCCTTTGAACTAAAGTAAAGGTTCAATTCGTAATTTAGTATAAATCTGGGAAATAATGTAATCCTTTTAGTTCTATTTTTTCCCATGGTTCTAATGTTTGTATTAGCGCCGATGCCCTTGTCTCTCAAACCTAGGTCCGAAGAGCACGACTACGTTAAAACTCCTCAAACTGCCTTATACTCGAACCCCTTCTCTTCAGCCCTGTTCTCCGTTGTCGGCCTTTTCTACCTTCGAGTAAAGGGACGCTGCCAAAAGGTCGCCTGACGCCACCGACGCCGAGCCGGTGTGGTAGCTATCAAGGTTTTTCATAACTCTTTTTTTGAAGTTCAATTCTTTCTGCAAAACTATTCAGCATCTATGTGTACGTCTATGCATTTATCGAATTGGCTACATGAATTCTGATCTTTCGTCCAAACCGAAACTGGGTTGTGCTTTTTTGAACTTTTACGGGATAATGATGCTGTTTGAGTTGGGCGGGTTTAAGAGAAAACTGTTTTTTACTGGGGAATTGGGCTGATTTCTTCTTGCTTTCTTGAATTAATCAGTTGCCTATTTTTAGGTTGCATTGTGACGGCCTCCTCTAATACTTGGACTTTTATATCTTGCTCGTTCTTCAGGAACTTGATGTGAATTTCATTTACTTTGGTAAATTTTGAATTTTTATGGTTGAGCTGTGATATGGGTTTCTCAATGGAATACTTCAGGTAATGGTATTTAAACTTTCGATTCCTTTTATTTTCTATGAGGTTCATGTAATGGTCTGAGACTGGAGTATTGCTGTAAGACTTCTATTTGTACTGTATGAGCTCGTTTTTAGCAAGTTCTTATCTGTCCTACAGCTCAAAAATACGTGATAACTACCTCCCTTAGTGAAATTTATAGTGTAAAAGAGTAAGAAGATCATCCTACTGATTTGCTAGTGTTTCAGTTATAAACTGTTGCCTTTATTGGGTAATCCTTTCTTTGTTGTGTCTTTCTGTTGATGTCATCGAGTATGAACTTCAGAGAAACTTTTTAATGTACACGATCTAGGAAGTTTTAAGGGGATCAGTATCTTGATTTTCCCAGATGAACTTCCTGCATTCTTATGTTGTGATGGTGGATTTGTGTCGGTTTTTGTGAAAGTAACTAGATGTTTTTCTGGACTCATTTGCTTAGGTTACTTTGTGTTTAAGTTTTCAAAAAATTTAACTGAATTTGTCAGATCCTGTGGTGCCTTCTTATGAATGAGAAAGATACTAGTCATAATTCTGACAATGAAAGATTATGAAAGATACTAGTCATAATTGTGATACTAGTTATACCTATCATCATGAAAGATTGTGAACTTACTAGGTACTACATTAGCTAGTAAATTCTTCATCAGTAGCCCAACTTTAGAAGAATCTGCTTCTTTTTATATGCAAAATAGATCCAAACCACAAAACAAAACAATGCAAAAAGAGGAGAGCTGTTTGATAAGAAATTTAGAATAAGAAACAATATTTAATATATGCTTGCTTGAAAGCTACCATCATTATTGGCTGTGATGCGTAATACCCATTCAATCAGCTCGGCTGCACTAACAAATGATTTCTGCAAAAGTATGTTAATTAAATTCTTTGACAGTTAAAGCTACAAATGGCACAAGTAAAGTTTCTTTTACGTAAGTCCCCCAACAAATAAGACATTTGGGTTTGAGGTTGAAGCAAAAGCTGGTAACATGTGAATAGGACAATGAAGTTAATAATGCAGCGGTGCTTTTTTTAATGTTTTTCTGGACTACTTCATAGGATATCTATACTTTTCTGGCTGTGCATGGCCCGTTAAATGCAGATTTACTTGGATTATTAGTTGTAGATTGTAAAATTGTAGCAAAATACTATGTTTGAATCCCTATTTTAATGATGAATTTCATGTCCAAGATTGCTTTGATCTTTCGGAGAATTGAGATTGTGCATTGGTTAAAAATATTATCAATCTCCATGTGGTTTTCTTTGACTTCTTCTAGATGCTGCTTCTAGGTTAATGATACAGTTGGGGAGGATTCACTTCTGAGGGTCTCTTTTCCTAATGGGCTCTCCTGAACGAGTAAGAAGTTCAGGAAAGAAGGACATAGAGGTTGATCCAGATGTAAAGACGGACAGGTTCAGGGAAGATGATGACTGGGAAGGTGATGATAAGAGAAAGCACAGGTCAAGCAAGTCAAGAAAGCCTGGAACTTTGGAAGATGCTGAGGGAATAGATAGTGGTGGTAGAAAGAAAAGTGCCGGGGACAGAACTGAGAGCCGAAAGAGATCAGGTGGTTCAAGCAGAGCTGATAGTGATGAGGATGACTATGAAACAAGGAAGGAGTCACGTACTCGGCATATGAAGAAGAAAATAGAGGACAACACATTGGAGAAACTGAGCAATTGGTATGAAGAAGGAGAAGGTGAAATCAAGTATGACAGTGGATATAAAGGACATGGTCGAGTTGATGACAGTGAAAGAAAGAGATTGACTTCAAAGTTCTCAGATCATGAGATCTCCCAGGTCAGAGCTAAAGACAAAGATGAAGCAGTGTTAGATGGTAACCCTGAAAAGGCGCTAGATAGAGAATCTAGATTTTCTGAAAGAAGGGAAAGTAGTAGAGAGAAGGGTCATGGTTCTTCTGAGCATGGGAAAAACTCAAGGAGAAAGTGGGATGACTCAGATGTCTTCTGGAAAGATGAAGATGGAAACTACACTGAAAAATCTGATATAAGAAGTGGGAAGCTGACTGAGTCTAGGATTGAGATTGTTAGAGACAGAAGTGATAGCATGAAATTTGATCTGAGTGAGAGCAAAATCAGAGAATTTGACTCAGACGGTGACAAAGGCATTAAAGCTCAGGATAAGGAGGACAGAAGATCTGAGTTTGAAAGGAATAAGAGGGACAGGTTGGAAGTTTTTAGAGGAGGACCTGAAAGGAAGCTCGTCGATGCGGTCGAGCAAGGAGAGAAGAGAGGAGCATAGACACCCAAGAAATCCGGCTGGTAGGGAAATTGTTGACAGTCGTGAGAGGTCTTTAAACGCAGATGAGGATGGCAATGCATGGATGAGAGACAAGAACAGGAGGGAAATAGATACTTCCAACAGGTCAAGGACACCTGAGCGGAGTGGAAGACGTCAATATGAACCAGACAACTTTGATATGGATTATGAGCGAAGCACTTCTTTTAGGAGGAAGGAACAAGAGAGAGATAACTATAGAGATGATAGGTCTAAAGGAAGAGATGAAAGTTGGACTGATAGGAGCAGGGATCGCGAGGGCTCTAGAGATGCTTGGAAAAGAAGGCAACCTAATAGCACTGAAAAGGAAATAAGGGATATTGATACAGCTTATGATCATGGTAGAGAGTGGGATTTTCCTAGACGTGGTCGGATTGACCATGATAGGCCTCAAGGTCGTTCTGGTGGTAGGAAAGACGGAAGCAGGACTGAAGCAGTGAAAACCTCTTCCAAGTATGGAATTTCGAATGAGAATTATGATGTCATAGAGATCCAAACCAAACCATTCGATTATGGAAGGGAGGAATCTAAATCCCTCCTTTCCAGAAGCAATGAACTGGGTCAGCAATCTGATACATTGGCTCCAAATGGTGAGGAGAATGCTTATTCTAGGAGGAAAGATCTAGGAATTCATATGCATCTATGCAATCTGGTGAGGATTCAAAGGATAGATTCACAGATGGGGGCTTTTCTGGGCAAGACCAGAATTTATGGAGGGATGACAATGACTTTGCAAGAGCAAGAGGCCAGAGGGGTGGTATGTCTAACCGTGCTTCTGGGGCCAAAGTTCTAGTGTTGGCTCACAAATGATGCATGGAAACCAGGAGTCCTCTTCCTTTACGAGATCTGCACCACAAGGAGTTAAAGGGAATAGAGTTGGACGAGGAGGTAGGGGTAGACCAATGGGCAGAGATGGTCAACAGGTTGGGCTTCCAATGCCATTGATGGGATCGCCTTTCGGGCCACTTGGAATGCCACCACCTGGACCGATGCAATCTATAACTCCTAGCATGTCACCAGCACCAGGTCCTCCAATTTCCCTGGTGTCTTTATTCCACCATTCCAGCCTCCAGTTGTTTGGTCTGGTCCTCGAGGTGTTGAAATGAACATGCTAGCTGTCCCACCTGTTCTCTCACCTGTTCCTCCAGGGCCCTCTGCGCCTAGGTTTCCCGCAAATATGGGGACTCCACCAAATCCACCTATGTATTTCAGCCAACCTGGTCCTATAAGAGGAGCACCACCAAATATACCTGCACCAAACTTTAACCCTATTGCACCTATGGGGCGTGGACAATCACAGGAAAAATCCCCTGGAGGTTGGGTTCCTCCTAGAACTAATGGACCCCCTGGCAAAGCTCCTTCGAGGAGAGCAGAATGATTACTCCCAAAACTTTGTCGACACTGGTATGCGTCCACAGAACTTTATCAGGGAGTTAGAGCTCACTAGTGTTGTGGAGGACTATCCAAAACTTCGGGAGCTTATACAAAAGAAGGATGAGATTGTTGCCAAATCGAATTCCCCACCTCTTTATCTGAAGTGCGACCTGCATGAACAGGTGCTTTCTCCAGAGCTCCTCGGTACAAAGTTTGATGTCATTCTTGTGGACCCTCCTTGGGAGGAATATGTACATCGAGCTCCTGGTGTTACTGATCATATGGAATATTGGACATTTGAAGAAATAATGAATTTGAAAATTGAGGTACTGACTGCATTATTTATCACCAAGAATATATATAAATATATATATAATATATATATATAGAAATAGAAAAGGAGGTTGTTTGTTTTACTTAGGTATGATCTTTGTGCTAGACTTTTTATTTCCACAAGCCTGGAAAAAATTATGATTCTATCTGCTCATAATTTGAATTAAAACTGGCTGGTCGGGTGATGTACGGTCAGTGATAGACCCATATATGCACACAAAGGTTATTTGCTACATGCTAGTAAATTATGCATGTTGGTATTTATGTTTCTATAGTTAAGAATTCTTATAATTGGGCTTAATACTTCAAAATTTTAGTCATCATTGTTGGTTGCTTCTGCTGACATTCAAAAGCACTTCCTAGTAATGTATTTCTGATCCTGGAGTATCTCTACTCTGCAGTTTAGCTTAATGCTTTCTGGAACTTGATGATTTAAGTGATTGGCTTTCTTCACTTTCAGGCAATAGCAGATACACCTTCTTTTATTTTTCTTTGGTTGGTGATGGTGTTGGGCTTGAGCAAGGTCGACAGTGTTTGAAGAAGGTATAGTGAGATGTTTGAGAGAAACAGTGTGTGGTTAGCAGCTGCCTCATCTTTGTATTGGTGTTCGATATTGTATTTAGATCATCCTTGGCCTTTCATTTTTTTTTTACTTTTTTTTTTGGTTTGGCGGTAGTTTAAGATCATTTGAAGAGTTTAACTTTTTTCCACATATTATTTCATTATAAACTCCATGCAGTGGGGATTTAGAAGGTGTGAAGATATATGTTGGGTGAAGACAACAAAACAAATGCAACTCCTGGACTGCGCCATGATTCGCATACTTTATTCCAGCGCTCAAAGGTTCGTGAGCAACTCTGTATGCTCTATATTACTTCTCTGAAAGCAAATATCCCGTTGTGGAGTGCAATCGCAAATGCCCATATTTTGCTCTTTTTATTTTTTATTTATTTTTTTATTTTTCCTAATACACGTCTTGTTTTGCTGATCCTGTGCTGCTTTGTTGCCACAATGAAGGAACATTGCTTAATGGGCATAAAAGGGACCGTACGTCGCAGTACTGATGGTCATATAATCCATGCCAACATTGACACTGACGTAATAATTGCTGAGGAGCCTCCTTATGGTATGTAGTTTGTGATCCAAATGCCTAGGCTTGTCTTATGTCGGCAAACTTGTCTTCTTCCCATGGGATGTGAAATTTATGAGCGCACCATGTTCTCTCCACTCCTACATCCTTTTGACTCTATGAATTTTTAGGTTTCTCCTGGTTGTTTCGGCAATATTTGTCGTAAACGTAGATAAAAGCAGACAAATGGGAGGAAGAGGCAATCTTGTAACTGCTCTCAGGGCTTTGAAGCTTATTATAAATGCTCTAGGTTTTCCTGTTACATCTAACAAGATGGAAATTCCCATGCTGCCTTCTCGTTTCTATCCACATATGCCTTACCTTCCCCATCTTTCCATGCTTTGTTTCAGTTATACCTTGATTCACTACTTTTCTCCTCTCTTCAGTTTGCTAATCAAAGTGATGAAAAATTGTGTGCACATTAAACTGCACTATTGAACAAAGACGGACATATATCAAAATATACTGTAATATACATGACCACAAACATATAATAGTAGGATTTCCCAAAGCAGTTGAACTACCTTTTTCTCATGATCATAATAAAAGTATTGATTATTTTACTGCAATACATTTGGTAGAATATTGGAGAATGGACTACTATTGCCTCTCCAAGGCTGGTAGTATGACCTGTACAAGCAGATTGATGATGGAAAAAGCAGCACAACCAAATGAATATCTGCTATTCTGTAGGTTGCAGAATTGGGCAAAAGTGAGAGGAAATGTAAGAGAATAAAACAATGTTACCATCTCCACGAAGGATTAGCTTCAGCTGGGCTGTGTATCTTCTGGCAGAGTGATACCCAAGGACTACCATCGCTATGTCGAGAGTCTGAATCTGACAAACAACACGACAAAAAGCAAAGACTTAGAACTATTATCAACTTGTAGTGCCAGGCTAGAAAAACGACCACTTAAAATTGGGTAATTTTGAGAGCCTTCACAGTAAATTGGGCTGCAAATCCCTAAATGTAGGACCTCAAATCACAGTTCATTCGCAAGCAAATTTCTAAGTTAAAGAACTTGATGAAAGAGCTTCAGGATATAGCATCCAAATTGGACTTTACACATGTTAGGAACTTCCAGCATTGTAATTGCACTAAGCTGAATATTTATTTAATCGACTGAACCAGGTCACAAGAAAGGTATTAAGCGTCAGCAGCAACTTTCCAAAAAAAATTTTTCTTTTTGACTGAACCAGGTCACATGAGAGGTAGTAAGAGTCAGAACCCCGGTACCACCAAAAGCAGGAAAGTTTAATCCCAGGACTTGTTTTCCCACATAAATAAAAATCCCATTTCATGTCAGCAAAATGCCCACTTTACATGGAACTAAAGCATGGAAAGGAAAACAATTCCTGAGACCGCAGGTTCAAGCAAAAGCACTGGAAATCAATACATTAACATTCCTCCTTAAAGACACTAGCAGGCAAGAAGCAAGGTTTTGTTCCTCTAAACTTTTAATTATATATACAAGCAGATGTCATGTCAATGGGAAAAACAACCAACGTTATAAGATAGAAATTTATAGACGCAAAACTGTCTAATACTAATTCATGCAAGAATAGACTAAACCTGATGAGGAGGGACCAGAAAATAACAGGAGAGAAAGTGCAGCAACAACTGATGGAAGAAAATTCCACTTTATGCCTGCAAGCTGCTGTAGGTAAAAATTGATACAGCTAGTATCTCTTTGCTGCCAAAATTCTCCTGGTTTTCTCCACATTCCTTCACACAATAGTCCATGATACAATGCAGATTATCAAGCTTTAATATTTCAGAAGAACTAGTGGAATTCAAATCACTCAATTTCCATGAAAGCCTTCCAAGAATCACTGAGGCAGTCAGCCATCTTAAAAGCTTTGATACAAGATCCTCTTCAGATTGTTCTGAAAATCTCAAGGCATTGCTATACATTGCTTCAGATTCAGGCACCTCCATCAAGTTTGACTGCACAGCAGTTGATATTGCCCAGCTAACAAACTTCAAAAGCTTATTTTTATCCTACAAGCACATCGAAGTAATAGGTCATCTTAAGGAATAGAAAAAGATAAGCAGGGTCTAATCACAAATATGAGAAGTTGATGGTTGAACTCTTATGTCTTGTTCACTACATATAGAGTTTCATGAGGTAAAGCACTTGTGAAGTGCCATTGCTCATCTTTCTCAATCATCACCAGCTAGCTAGTAATGCCAATCACAGTCTCATGATATACTATAAGGACTTGAAATAATTGACCTAGTAAATCAATGCATACATGTGCATGTGGAAAATCCATACATGGGAAATTCCAATTCTGTACAATGAACTCAATCAACTTTTTACATCAGAATTTTTACACAATCTCAGCCACTTACAGACCATGTCATAGTCAAAAAACATTGACATTTCTGTACATGTGCATGGTTTGACAAAAGAAGCTGGTGTTCAAATTCAACCACCACAATAGCAAAGGATATGCAATTTGTCTACTACAATACAATTGCATCACATCATTCTCAAAATTTTAAGGGGCCCAAACAATTTTTCACATCAGACAATCTAGATATAATCAGCCACTTAGAGATCATGTCACAGTCAAAAACATTGACACTTCCGTACATATGCATGATTTGACAACAGATGTTGATATTCAAATTTATCTACCACAATAGCAAAGGATATGCAATTACTCTAGCGCAATACAATTGCATGACATCATTCTCAAAATTCTAAGGGGACCTGCAATAGCTTCACACTTTAGGATTCATTTTCAAGAAATTCAACTTCAGAAGGCTTCAACAGCAGAACAAAAGTCTGATTCAAAATCCAACAATTTCTTGGAAATGTGGGAGGAATTCTTAAATTGCCCAAGATATACAATGGACTGTTTCACTGTGCCCAAAAAAAAAAATCTTAGTTTAAGCCACTACTTGTGCGATTTATACCAGCTATTCCATCTGGCTATAAGAGTAGGAAAACCATTTAAAAAAGACATTTAACAGATACTAAAAGCAGTTACCCAAATTTAAGTGCTCCAGCAAACTGTTGAAAAATAATAACAGAAGAAAGTAGCCAACAATCGTTTAGGCAAAGAACTCACACATCTCAGGTAGGCTCAGCAACAAACAGACGCTCTTAACAATCCAAAATTATATGCTTTCAACAGTAAATTTTGACATTGGCAATTCACCAATTCGAAATTGCACAGCGGGTCAACAGGATTTGGTAATTTGAGAAAGAGGATATGTGAAAGGTATTAGACAGAAATGTATTCTCTGTTTCCAAAATGCTTTTAGCTGTGGTCAGTTTACAAGTGGATGGCTGCATTGATCATTTGTTTTGTGGCTCAGATACACCATAGTGCATCAATAGCTGCTTATCCGAAAGCAAAATTTGCTACCAAGTTAGACATGTCAATTTGTCATACAAAATTACCATGCATTAGAATGTAGAAGCAGTCAGTTCAACAAGCTTTTAACTATAATAGCTGGAGATTGACATACTTATTGCAAAATTAAAGATCTTTCATTAAAAAAAATTGATAGAAACCAAACTATTGGTTCACAAAGTAAAAGTTAAGGGTTTCTAAAGTGTATTATATCAAAGTTCACGATGTCCATTCTGCACAAATATATATATATGAACAATGTTTGAAGAGGTGAAGAACATAACAATCTTATAAGATGATGCTTATAGGTTTTCTTGATAACTTTCATGAGGACCATCGAGTTTAACAGAATAATTGCCATGCAAAATTATTGCAAACATGCACATGCACATGCACATGCATGCGTGCCCACACGCGCGCACACACACACACATAGAGAGAGAGAGAGAGATATACCATGTGAAGTATAGAAACTGGAGGAGTACTCATAAGGACAGCTTTCAGTCCAATCTCAGCAGTAGAACTGAAGGTCCCACTGCAACAGACATCAACAGCTTCGTACAAATGGTATAAACCTTCAAAAGATATTGTAAAATGCGGCTGATATACTTTTCTTTTCTGTGAGATCTTCAGGGTTGACATCAATAGTTCTAGAATCAAATCAATGATTCTGGTTTTCTCTTGTATATGTTTAGAACAACCAACTAAGATTCTGTACAGATGAGCTGCAAGTTCAGAAAGCTGCTCTAGGGCATATTTTTGCAACCACTCACTAGTATTTCTAGACATAATAACATCATTGGCTACCTGAAAAAAAGACACACCCCTACATAAGAGGGAAAATGATTTGCATTGAAAGCCATGACTTCAATTATAAAGAGAGATTAAAAGAAATTCAAATAACATATACAAGCCCATTTGTAATCATCTTATTCCACAATGTGAAATTCTAATGCGGATCCCATCTCTGGAGGTTGATATTTGATTTTCAAAAGCAAAAACATATATTTTAACAGAACATGCTTTCTAAAACCGTGTTCATAGTTATAAATGATTAAGGTCATTTCTTTTATGATAGGAAAGGAACTCATAAAATGCTGGAAGGAGCTAGGAGCCAGCTTCTGTTAAAAGCCTAGAGTTTGGAAGAAAACAGAAGACAATGATGTCCGAAGCAAGCTACACACCACCATTAACCCAAAAAGAAAGAGAACAAATTAGGTTCCCATCCCAGAGAAAACAATAAAAGACATGATGCCAAAGTTTTCCAAGACTTATTCATCTTTTGGAGTATACTTAGCAAAATAGTTTGTAAAGAAGAAAGTATAAGAAAAAATGATTATACCTCCAGAACCATAGCTAACTTAGCAAATGAAAAACTTCTCTGGTCCCTGAGTAGAATCCCGTAAAAAGATGCAACATGAGAAGACAGCCAAGAAATTATGCCACAGCGTACAACCAAATGCCATGCAAGCTTATTTATTTTGACGGACTTTTTCACCATCTGCAGAATAAAAAAATAAAATTTAGCTAAATTGATAGTTCTCTAAAGAGAAAGTATCAACTCAGTGATAAGTAGCCTACTGAAGGCCATGAAAATTTCTCCTAGATCAAAATGCCCAGAGTTATAATATAACTAGCAGCTAAGGCACACTGACTAGTTTTCGTGATGGTCATCTTCTATAAGCAATGTTAAAGACAGATGAATGTCGACAGAATCAAATCAAACTTCATCTTCTTGTGGTCTAATTATATAAGTATATAAGATGCTAATGCAGTGCAAATTTAAGGGCTGCTGCTGAGCAAAAAGAGAGGAAGAGGAAAAGGAGAGTAAAGAAAGGATAAAGACATTAAAGCTGTGTTCCTCGAGCTTAATTTTATTTCCCATAAACAGATAAGCAAATTTGAGAACTATATTCTTCCTTTTCTCTGAAGAAGCAGAGAAGGGAATTTCATTGTAGGATAATCATTGGCAGGATAA